TTGTGATTGAGAAGTGGAGCAGTTGGTAGAGCTGTTGGACAGGCTGAAAGACATCAAACTTATAGAGTCATTGGAGGATTGTCTGTTGTGGGATGGCCCGGGGGAGGGGCTGTTTTCTGTTAAAGCATGCAGAAATTCGCTTTCTCCGATTTATAATAATTCTTTTTGGTGGAATGAATGTGTTTGGTTGGGTTTAGTTCCTCCTAGAGTTGAGACTTTCCTTTGGAAATTGTCCCATCAAAAAGTACCTGTGAGAGTGGAATTGTTGAAAAGGGGGGTTCATCTAGGGGATAACATTCTTTGTCCTTTATGTAATTAAAGGGAAGAATCAATTCAGTATCTATTTATTTCCTGTAGTGTTTCATGGGAACTGTGGAATAAAATTATAGCCTATTGGGGTGTTCGGTTAGCCCTTCCATCTGATTTGCCATCCTTACTCAGTTCTTGGTCTGTTTTACAGCCTATTTCTGCTATGTGGAAGTTTATTCCGGGGGTAGTTTTCTGGTCAGTATGGAAGATTAGAAATGAAATCATTTTTGAAAAAGGAAAGCTGGACAGAGTTTCATTATGCTTCTATGTTCGTTTTAGACTAGCTAAATGGTTTTTAGCAAAGTTTCCCCTTCTATCTATTCAGATGGAATCTTTAATTGGTGATCCTTCTTTGGCGGACAAGCTTTCTACTTATAAGGAGTCGAAAAGGAAAGTGCACTGCTGGAGTCCTCCTCCAGTGGACTTTTTTAAGTTGAATGTGGATGGGGCTGTTAGTAGTGTTGGGGGAGGGCTGGTATAGGGGGCATTCTCAGATATTGGAACTGGGTTACACTCATTTCTTTTTCAGAAAATATCGGTCCTACTACTCCTATTATTGCAGAATTGAAAGCTATCAGTAAAGGTATTGACATCTTTGTTTCTTCAGAGTGGGGTTCGAAGGGCAGGCTAATCATTGAGAGTGATTCCAAGCAAGCAGTGGACTGGATTAATGATTAGGTTTTAGTTCCTGTTTTTCTCAATAATTTTGTTAAGAAATTGTGTCTATTGTTTCTGTTAAACAGTTTATTGTCAGGTGGACTCCAAGGTGTTGTAATATTGAGGTGGACAAATTAGCAAAGGAGGGGATTGGGTGATGGTGTAATCTGTTTAAGTTAGTTGGTTTGTTTTACTGTTAAGGTGATAGAGGCGTGTGTTATGTATTATGTATTTTGTAGAAGTTTTTTGAAGTCTTATGTAATCGGTTTTTTATTAATGAATTGAGGTACTCTTTTCCTCCTACTGCTAGTATGTTCTTGCCTTACGGTAAAGGACTACTAAGTGGGAGGTTTTTAATGAGCCCTCCCATTCCTATAAAAAAAAAGACCTTAAAAGTTTTTTGTTTCCTGTATTTTTCAACCACTCTTCTAAAATGGGAGCTAGCAATTGTTTCCATTTATTCCATAAGCATCTCCTAATTGAGCAAGATGTGGTGTGATAAAGTCCATAAGTTGATTAATGATACAATGTCTAAACATCTCTTAATTGATTGGGTGGTGGCTTTCGTCTTTGCGTGTGCTGTGTTTTTCTTTGTAATGTTGATATTGCAGTTTTTCTGTTGTACCAAAGATCCCTGTACATGGTTCTGTCAGGGGACCTTATGTTTCCTTGCCATCATTTGGAGCAATAAAATTCTATTTTTTTTAAAAAAAATGTATTGAACTTTTCTTGTTCTAGTCTAACATCAGCACTGCCACTGAAATTAGAATTCATACTGTTGTGACACTGATTTCCGAGGATTTACCAACTTTATGTTCCTCTTGATCAAATAATCACTATTCTGTTTTTAAAGCTTCTGAATTCTTATTGTATTGATTCTTGCTGCAGAGGCCCGTCGAAGGATCAGCAGGAATGAAGCAAGACCCCCGGAGTTTCAAGCTTATATTAGAATATATAAAAGCTTTGCCTGTTAGTGTTTTGCATATATATTCGTTCTTTCTTGGCAGAAGGACCTTCAGTGATACTTTATATTTTATACTATCACTTTATGCTATAACATAAATTTAACCTGATTGGTTATGCAAAATTTTGAAGATCAGTCGTTTTCCCCAATTCTAAATAAATTTAACCTGATATTCTGCAGGCGGAACAGGAAACAGATTTTATTTTACTCTCATGCACAGGATTGGGAGTTGAGCCAAACCGAAGAGAGCAAGTTTTGAAAGCCAAGAGGGTCAGTCTTATCTTCTTCTTTTCTTACAGGAAGAACCCGGCGGCCAACGTGCACTTATATTCGATCAAGGAAACAGGATTTCTCAGATGAGAATGAACCACTGACATAGACTGCAATAAGGGAGTACTGAGTTTGCATCTCGTCCTACAACTCTCTTCGTTCAATCAGGGAATTAGTTGTGCTGATGTGGCTGATATCTGCATGAAAGCGTTGCATAATTCAACAGCAAGAAATAAGAGCTTCGATGTGGGCAACATTGTAACACAATTTCATTTCAAGTATGGCAGCACTAACAGAAACTTGATTGATTGTGTGCAGGTCTGTCATGAATATGTTCCTGAGCAAGGGAGGGAACTTTATGACCTGGTGAGGACAATACTAAACCATAATAACTTTGAATTGATTGTTAACCGAGAATGAGTTGAAGTAGCATACACATTGTCTTTCTACAGGTCGCTCATCTGCCTGACAAAGCGAACAATTATTTAACTCCGGCATTGTCTGTATTGGAAAAGAACACATGATTATCATGCAACGCTAACATTTCATCATCACCCTCTGAGAAACATCGTTGGAACTGCATATACTGGAAGATGGGAGTCCCATGATTTGATCTCTATGGAAGTCTGCAACAAAACATTTATGTTCTCTTTTGCCCGTATCATGTTTGTCCTATAGGTTCTGCATAGTTTTTCTTTCCTGCAAATCCATATGTTGTCTGATATAGAAAATGTGTGTGTATGTATGGTGGATAGCATACAGAAAATGTTGTCAAATTTTCGAATTTATGGTTCACTGTGATGTAAAACATCATGAAATGGCAAATAATTAAAACTGAACAGCGTTGACATGTTTTGGGAATGAGATGTGCATATAATAGCCAGTGAGTTCATTCAGATGTGATGTTTCAAAGAACATGATAAGTGGATTACAATGACAAGACCTCATCAAACCAAATTGATAGAGGAAATATATTTATTTTTATTTTTCATAGGCTACTTAATGAACAAGATGCTTGAAGAATGATGCCGTTGTTTTGCCTTGAGGTCATGCTCACGTGCAATTCATGTGACCTGGTGCAAATTTTAAACTGTAATGGATGGATTGTGAGGTAATTGCGATTTCATGTGCTGATTACAGGCCAGCCACAAAAATGAAGAGGTCAACACGTGGTTAAGAAAGTGACGCAGGATAACTCTCCCAGCAAGGACCACCAAAAAAAACATGAATAGTATAGCTCAAGAGTTAAGGTAAACGTGACATCTCTTTGTTTTCTTTAACCCTGCTAAAATGAAGAAACAAAATTGATAAACAAGAGCTACATATTGTAAACCATAATGCTAGTTTATGGCCCTGCGGCAGGTTTTTGTGTCAGCAGCAACATTTCCAGCAAAAGTAGTAGCAACCTCACCAGATTCAGCCGCCGATGCATTCTTGCAAGTAGCTTCCTCGCAGCAGCCGCTGTTTTAGTCCCCGCAGCTGTGCCTGCTGAGGTACCCCAAGATTTGGAAACACTGTCCAACATACCCCAAACACTTTCAGGAGAGTGTTCATCCGCCAAAGATTGCAAGAAGCCGAGAATCGAGCGACCAAAGTCCAGGAAAGCAGAGTCATGCACTACCAACCGTCTCACCAACTTGCATTAGAGGTGCTGATGGTTCTCCTGTAGATCGTCCTTTCAACATAAGAGGGTACTTGAATTCTTTCCAATGATCCATCTCATTTTGCTTAAACTGCTTGTATTCTGGAATCGGGATTAAAAGTATTACTTTCGAGAGAATTTGATTGTCTGTTTCCTTCTCTGCAGACCTTCAGTGGTTTTTAAGGAAGGGTTTTGGAATCGAAATTACTGGTACAATTTCTTTTTTCCTCATATTGGAATTGCATATATACTATCATCAGAATCAGCGTTCAGTTTTTTCAATAAATTATACCAGTTATAAGAATGAATAGTTTGAAAATCAATGTCGATGAAAGCTTAGCAGGCGAGCTGCCTATACTCAACAACTGTTGGCAGAGTATAATTGCATCATAGTTCAATTGACCTTTGGATGTTCATTTTCTAAAAGCTCTGCTCCAATGAATTCACTCTACTTACGAAGACTATTTTTTTCATGTGCAGCTTGGTGGAGTGTTCAGATATTTGTAATTTGATTGGCGGAACAGATGATGGACCTTGAATTGTATATGAATCTTACAGCAACGTGAGAGGATTTTCCATTCATTCATTCCTTCTCGATTCGATTTTATGTTAATTGCCATTGCTGACTAAAATAATCATCGGTCAGAGGGTACATGGAACTGAATCTACATTCATGTACTGATACATGTTAGAAAACTTGAAATTGATGCAATATAAGAGGATGGTTTTGAAATTGGTTAATTCTCACTCTGCGTTATTGTATCAACAATCTGCAATCATATTAACCCAAAGACGGTTTGACACCGTTTCGAGCTTGGAGAAACCGGCCGATAAGAGGATGGGAAGGGTGAAGACTGGCTTTTTTTATCATCAAACTTTGCCTAGCCGCTATCTTTGGACCATTATTAGCTTATGCAAGAAGTGCTTATTGATTCCCAAATGATTGAGATGCTAGAGGGAAGCCTTTGCCAGTTGTGTTGGAGCCTTGCTTCTCCAGTTGATATGAGCTTTACTTGCCTGAACATGATAATATCTCATATCACAATCAAATTCTACATCTGAATCCTTAATATCCGATAACTCGACTGGTATTCCATTTTAGCATCGATCATCTTTACCTAATATGCAAATCAAAAGAACATTCCACGACAGCAGTTGTTAAAGAAACTATAGAATCTTCTTCTTTCTTCACATCAAGTGATTTTCCATTATTATTCAACTAGAGATTTGACTGCATATGCTCTCTAAACTTTATTTTATCCGAAGCAAAATGTAGACAAAAACAAGTATGTTCGGAGTTTCCTATATAATCTTCAAAGCCTGGATAATGGTTTGATCAAAGCAAACAGAGAAGAGGCAGGCGAAGCAAATGTGGACTTCCCGCTGAGTTGATGGTCATCATGCCTTGGCTCTTCTCCTTCTTTGCTTTCGCGTTCTTCATTAGCTTCCTTCTCGGCATCATCCACCATCTGCTCGAGTTACCGAATATAAGCAGAGGCTAAAACTAACCAATCTCAAAGGAAAGAAAAGGAGAAGTAATCTTATATGCATCATGAAGGACTGAGAACAATATTAATGTTACCTTGGTAGTAATCGCAGGGGAAAGAGAAGGAAGAATATCGACAAGACGAGTCTTGATACGGTACAAAGCATCCTTGGTAAGACCATGAGCAGCAACCGTAACATCCCTCACCACGCTCTCCAAAACATGCCTAGCATTCTCCAAAGCATCGGCCGGGACCGCAGCCGCAGCCAGTTTCTCCAACACCCTTTCCTTAACCACCCCGAGATTTCGCTTTATATCGGCTGCCAAGGCCGCTCCCTTCATCATCACCACTCACTCGCTCTCCCTTCGAATGATTCTCTATTCTTTTCTTTTATGGAGTTGTCTAGTGATAACTTGTGGTCTCTTGTTGTTGGCAACAAGAGTAGTTTTTGGAAGCAAGCGTCTATGGCTTCATTTTGTTTGGTTTTGACAATGATTTGTTTGTTTGTATCCTTAATTAACAGTGAAGAATCAATGTGAAGACGTGGTTTTGGGAGGAGGGGAGCTTGTAGCTTTGCTCCTCCCACCATCAATTTTTTAGTGTCGTTATTCTCACAATTTCAGATATGTGTGTGATTCTTAATGCCTTTGGAATTTCATACATAACACCCACAATTATCTTTTAAGCTAATATTTTTTGCAAATCTAAGTTCGTTATAAATAATTATTAAAAATATACAAATTAATTAAGATTTACTATAGCTATATATTTAATAGATAAAAATATGGATTCAAAAATAAAAAAAAAATTAAAGAAATTTTGAATCCAACATTAAATAAGATATCTAATATAATGACTACGTACGATTAAAGAATTTTTTTATATATCTTCTGAAATACTATTAATTTAACAATTCAACAATTTCTTTCAAATAAAGTTATTGAACTTTTAAAATTGGCCCTAATGATAAATTAAAAAATAAAGTGAGAATTCAAATTATATAATTAATGATGATATGTGAATGTATATGAAAATTTTCTACAAATTTATTTAAATATGATATTTTTTGGCCACTTTATTTTCAACTTCTTTAGTCCAATTGAGGCTTTTTAAAAGATCTTTTAAATATTTTTATCAAGAAAATTATCTTTTAAATAATATATTAACTTGAAAATTGTGTCGTATGTTAATGATAAATTACGAATGTTTTTCTGAAAAACAGTACTCTAAGATGTTCGGATTTGAATATATGTTTATTTAAAAGCAGATTTTATAAAATTATATAGATGATCATAATAAATTAATAATGAGAAGTATTATTTTTACCTTAAAATTTTAGATTTTTTAATTTTAAAATTCAATCCAAATACGAATAATAGAAAAATAATATAACTAAACCATATACCTAAAATAGTCATAGTAGAGAATATGAACGAAATTTATAATTTACCCATAGCGTATCGTTTGGAATCTAACTAAAAGTTAAAAAAAAATATAGAAATGGAAAATGAAAAAAATTAAATAAAAAGATCAAATCATTACTTACATGTATAAAAAATAATAGAAGAATTTGACTCTATTTGAATGACGTACCTCCTCAACAACTGTTATTTTTTGGATATTTTTTTTTGAATGAGATATCAATAATTATCCGAAAAGTATTATAATTCTTTGGATTTTTTTTAAAGGATCTTGTATTATATAATTGGTGCATATAAAACAGGACAAGAGAATGGACCTCGCTAAAAAAATTTCTTTAAACTAAGTGGAGAAAAAAGAGTACTATGCTCAAGTCGGAAAAGGTTAAATGCAAAAACAACAACAGCTGGACGAAAGTAAAACAGACTTATTTCAAACCCTTCTCACATTCGAATTCTAACCAATTTGTTTGCTCATTACACTAACTTTCTAGGGTCCATCTGTAATAATGGTTTGAGGATTTCATGTTGGCCACAACGTTTCTCATTTCCTGTTTCAACTTATAACCAATATAACCCGCCTGGAAACTGTCCACTAGCCTCTTTGTACAATCATAACCCAGGCAAGGACAATAAGCACATTTACACACGCAGCAACTTAATCTTAAAGCAGCCAAAGCAGAGGACTTGGTTTTCTCGCAGAAGGGGCACTGAAACATTGTCATAGCCACACACCAACCAAAACAATCTAGAAACAATCCACTTCCCCCACTAGCTAACTTTCACATCATCCAAATTCACAAAGTTACGACACCATACCTTCAACCCTTGGTTTGAGCTATTCAAGGCGAATCATAGCAGCTACCCTCAAGCCTTCATCCATAAGAACGGATGGACTCCCCGAACTCCTTCTTGAGCCAACTCATGGGCCTCAAAGTTTCTTTCCCTGTGCATAAAACTTACCTTCCTGTGATGCCTACCACAAATATTGTTGCACTTATCTACTACTACTTCAAAAGGCAAGGGCAAGTTATTTAGCTTCTCAATCCATTCCACAGAAATCAAGCAATCCGATTCTATCGTCAGAACGTTGACCTCCACCCATTTAGAGGATGAAAATATTTGACAGGCTTCTAAAATGGTAACAAGCTTCGCCCCAATAGGATCCGACAGTCCAATATTTCTCGAGAATTGGACAAGAGTCTCACCTTTGTGGTCGCGTAGGATACCTCCGATTCGAGCCTTGCACTGCCGTGTCCATATTCAGCTTTAGTTTTCCTTGAATAGGAGCAGACCATGAACCTGCAATTGGCCTAGTGTGTTGTTTCAGTTGTAGAGATATTACCGAGGGACACCATGTAAAATCATTAGTGGAGAACACCACCTCTGGCCATTTGCTTTTTACCCAAAATCCAATCCGCATAACGCTAGATTATAGATACTCATCACATCACAAGTTTTGTTATTAAAAATTACCTCATTACGCACCAACCATATGGTCCAAACGATACAAAAAAAAAAAGAAGCAAAGATGCCACAAAGGTTTAAGCGGTGGTTTTAACGAAAAATGTTCACACAACATTAATAGGCTTCTCAAAGATCCCCGAATAGCGAAACTAATGCTCCAAGAAGAGCACCGCTCCTGCCATTTCCAAGACACCTCACAGTGGCAAAGAAATGATCTACTACTGTTTCTTTTTTTTTAAAACACAGTGCACATCTACCCGAGTCTTGAGTAATCACTCCTCTTTTTAAAAGTTCAAATTTAACCGGAATGTGATGTTGAATAGCTTTCCACACAAAGGCCTCCACGTTCGGAAAACCAAACCCGCCGAAACAGACTTCCACAATCGATCAACAGTATCACTCTCACAAGCAGTTTTCTCATAGTACTCTTTCGGCCTGTATGAGCCCAAAGAGTTTCCCGTCCACTTTAGACAGTCAATACTTGCAGAATTATTGGCACCGTAGTTAACAATAGCTATGAAATTACGCCATTGATCCATTTCCCAGTCAAATAGATTTCTTCGAAGTTTAATTGACCATTCCCATAAACCGTTTATTTTGAAACCAAAATCGCATACCTTACCATCCTTCTTCAACGCTAACGCAAACACATATCTTTGAGAGGCAATTCCCCCGCTCATGGCTCCTTCAAGAAGCCAATTCTTTGGCCATCGCCTAGTATAAAGCGCAAGTTGTCGGTAAAAACGTCAATTGGGTTGGAGAGAGACCGAGAGATATTTCTCCAGATCCAAGACGCTTTCCTGCATTGGGTATAACTCGAAAGGAGGTTTCCCGAATCAATATTCATTCTAGCATCAATTGTCTTTCTCCGCGTACTGTTTAGTTCATTACCGTACCTCCACAACCATTTGTTAAGGAGCGACCTATTTCTGACGTTTATATCAAAGAAGCCCAGACCACCAAAGTCTCTTGGTTTTACAATGTTTTTCCCATCTAACCCAGTGAATGGTTCGATTCGACATTGATCCCCAACTGAAGTTGGCGGCCAATTTATTAAGCTTGGCCAAAATCCCCTTCGACGCTTGAAACAGGGAAATATAATAAACTGGTAAATTAGTGAGAACAACCTTTACCAGTGTCAATCGGACTCCAAAGGATAGCATTTTACCTTTCCATCCATTAATTCTAGCTTGGAATTTGTCAATGATTGTTTGCCACATTGACTTATTGTTGCAACGTTGACCCAATGGGAGCCCAAGATATCTTGTTGGAAATATGTCAGTGCTACATTTCAAAGCTCTAGCCCACAAATCTAACTTGCTTCTTTCCACGTTAACCCTAATGAGCTTGGTCTTCCGCAAATTCAATTTCAATCCGGATGCTATCTCAAAAACTTGCAAGATTCTCTTGATGTTAGAAACACTAGATCCAGTTGCTTCTGAGAAAAGGAGGAGATGGTCGGCAACTGTAGATGGGATACTTCAAAACCATTGTGGCCCATTGACACTCCTCTAATCAAGAAAGGCCCAATCTACTGTCTCATACGTCTTTTTAAAATCGGCCTTGAACACCACCGCTTTCATGTTACTTTTCCTGATAACAAGTATAAATGCATTTAGGAATGACAAATACTGTACGTGAGAGGCTTCTCTCCCATAACTTTTTTTTTATTTATCAAAATGACAGTTTAAGTTCTATAAATTTGTAAATTTAAATGTTTGAAATTAAATAATTTAACTTTCCCATGTTTGATTTAAATTGTATCATTGATGGCTTAAGGTTTGATTTTAAACTGATTATATGAATGAATGAAAATTCAATTAGGTTATTAATGGAACAGCCGAGCATTTTGAAGTGTAACAAATCATTGACTGTTTGGTGGAGAAGTTACATAGGGGAGAAATCAGTGTGCACCAAAATCAACACAACAACTAATCACAATACGGCCATTAATTCTTTTGCTTGCGCATCATTTTTCAGTTGACTCTTTCTATTTGCAAAAACTCTTCGTTTTTAAAAATAAAATAAGGAATATATTCATAGTCATGCTGGAATTGTTTAAAATATATCCAAAAATCATTATATATATATATATATATTGTGGTGAGGTAAATCATATATATTGTTGAAAATGGCAAATACATTGGGAATTGAAGAGGTCCATCCAATTATTTTATCCCAACTTAATTGAACCGGAACCCATGGAACAGTCGAAATTGACCGACAAGAGATGGTGAATGTTTGGCGTACAATTTTGTCAATCAAATGTCCACTTTTACCATCTTCAAATTCCATGGAAAAGAGAGGATTATTTCCATATTCACACCCCTGCACTATTTATTTAAACTAATTAAAAGCACGATTGCTGATCGACGCCGTTTACTTTTAGCTTCATGAATTTCCACTGAGCCCTCGTATTCTTGAAAATGGCCAGTGCACTTGATATTGCTTCACCAAGCCATTCCCCTTATGCAGGCAGTCAACTTAAAAAATTGATAAATGAG